CAATAGTTTTGCGAGATCTCACAATGCTTTTGCAAGATCCCGCAATACTTTTGCGAGATCCCGCAATACTTTTGCAAGATCCCGCAATAGTTTTACAAGATCCCGCAATACTTTTGCAAGATCCCGCAACACTTTTGCGAGATCCCGCAATAGTTTTGCGAGATCTTGCAAAAGTATTGCGGGATCTCGCGAAAGTTTATTTTTTTGCGAGATCTCACAAACGTTTTGCAGGATCTCGCAAAACTTTTTTTTCCCTCCATGTCCCTTTAGGGGCTCCGTAAATAGAAGATACTTCAGTTATAAAGAAACTGTCAGGGGTAGAGATAATTGTGCTCTCATTATAGAAACTCATAAAACTGTTTCCAGGAGTTTAAATAAGTAATTTAATCTCTATAGGTACAGGATCAGTGTATTTCTCACTTTGCCATTTCAGTAGTTTTATGCATACAGTTGTGCTTGAAATTTTACAAACCCTTCCATTAAAAACATTTTTTTAAATCAGCTGCCAGCAACAATGCAATCACTAAAATCCAGTGTTTTCTGTAATGTTCAGGAAATGTTCAGTCAGACTTCTCACCTGTTGACAGGTATGTTGGTTCAGTGTTCATGAGGAAGGTACTTTAATTTGTCTGGGACAAATTTGTTTACTGTATATAATTATTTTAAATAGAAAAAGTGAAATACAATGTTTTATTTACTAAATGATCATTTTGCCCATTCTGCATGATGTTTTCCCAAATAATAGCTTTAAAGAAAACCAGATGTTTTATTTTAAATGCAATATAAACATGTCACTGTCAGCTTTTCTCTTATTTTTTCCAGTTTCAGATATTTGACTAGTTTCTTAAACCCAAGCACAAATTGAGTTTTTTTTCTCAAAATTCTTATTTATAGCGCATTTTACTTAAGACTATTTATCTCTGGCCTCAAGTATGAAATACCTCAGAAACTCAGCATTCCTAATGACTAAGAGTATGCAGTTATGAACAAACCCTTGGATTCACAGAAAGAATTAAACATTTACATTTAAGCTGCTTCCTCCATGATGTGACTTCCTGTCTGTTGTTTATATGTCCTGAGGACAGGATGTTCATTATGATTCAGCCTGTTGTTTAGGAGAGATGGGTTGGCTGCTCACTAACTCACCACAGCAGGCTTTTGTTTGCCGTGGTCCATTTACTTTGCTGCACATCTCATTATTCTGCTGCTCTTTGTTGTTTTTGTTTGTTTTCTTGTAATTTTTTTTCCATATTAGTTGTAATCTAAGTAACTGCACCCCGTTATGGAGAACCACCACAGCATGGTATCTGTGGCGCCGGCTTAATCCTGAACTGTAAATGGTAAATCCCATTAAAAGTGTTGTTTGGACCTCATCTGCAGCTGTTTCCGTCAGTGGCAGAAAATCGTGTAAAATGGATTCATATGTAATAAAAACACCATATGTTAATGCATTTCATTTGTCTTTTATGGTCAACTATTCAGACTTAATTTAAACTTATTTTTCTATATTTATTTTTTCTTTAAATAGAATTTAGATTGCTAGAATGTGATTTATATTGAAAATTATTTCTGTCATATAATACACCTTTTAGTTATATATCACACAAGGATATGATTTTAAAGTTTATTTTTATTTTTCCTCTTAAATGTTTTTCAAAAAATTTGGAAATGAAGTCTGACCAACAAAATATTTCTCTCATCTTCCTCTTGCCAATAGACTTCGTGGGCTTGTCAGGCCGCTTTCCTGGTGTTACCATGGGGACAGAAATGGCTATTTGCACTTATTTTGGCAGCATGGGCCTCCTGCCGGATCAAATCAGCATCTCTATATAGCTTCTTAACTTATGGTAACATGAAGTGCCCCAAAATGTCCTGGTGGACAGGAACACCGACAGCAATAAAATTACCGTACCTAATAAATGATGGGAAAACTTTTCCGTGAACGTCAGGGAGACGCACATGCATGTTGAACCCCTGCACAACAGATCAGTCCTTCATTCTGTTAAGGTTCTTATATCATCTTTTAAAAAATGGATGGATCAGGAGTGACTTGACACGAGCAACCTGGCAGTTGAAGTTTATTCTAGAATCTAACTTAGGATTATTTTTATTGATGATATGTGAGTCTGTTAAACCCTAATAATACCTGCCTGTTGTGTGTCAGAACTAACTATTTCCCCTGTATTTTATCCATTTAGGACAGTTCCTCTGTCAGGATAAAAAAGTTATCCGCATTATGCACGTAGCAAAGGGGAAATGAAAGAGAGCGGTATCCTGGATCAAAGAACATAGTGTAATATTTTGGTAGGGCTTGACCCATGATGTCTCCTCATTTACAAATGTGTATGATGTGGGATGCTGGAGTTTTATCAAATGCTTCTTTAACTGTGATTCTGGAATACAGTACTTCAAAGAGAATCGAACCCGGTTGGTGAGCTCTTCCTTCTCTACCCCTAAGCAAATTCTCTGGTCTGAATAAGTTTCTGTCAAAATCTGTTGTCATGTCCAATGCTTATGTAATACACATACATTAGGAAGTGTTATTCTAAAGAGTTTTTCCCGATGATCTCTTCTCAGGAAAAAGCTTAACGATGTAAACATAGAGCGATCCAATAAATAATGTTTCCGCCCGGTTTCGAACCGGGGACCTTTCGCGTGTGAGGCGAACGTGATAACCACTACACTACGGAAACTGTTATGCATGCAATGAACGATGTCAGGAATTATATTTAACAAAACTGATGAAGGTCGTTGTTTATGTTGCTATTTTGCTGTTATTTCTTTTTTTAACTCTATTCTTTCCATCCATCCATCTTTCAATCATGCTTATCCAAAGCGGGGTCGCGAGGGGTGCTAATGCCTATCTCCAGCTGTCTACGGGCGAGAGCCCGGGTACACCCTGGACAGGTCACTAGGGTGGCCAGATGTCCGGCTTTAGGGCGGATGCTCCCCTCCGGTCCGTCCAGATCAAGACCCGCTATTGCAATCGCACCAAACAGAAAAAAGAATGTAGAGAAGACCCGGTTTGTCAAATTAAATTATAGTAAAAACAGATCGGTATCTAGAAATTAGAGCATAGTTTGTATATATTCCCAAAAACTAAAACAATAAATTTAGATTTTATTTCCTGGCAAAACATTCAATTCGGTTTATCCATTAAAGAAAAAAAAATTTGGAATTTTTAATCAATATTCTAATAATTGTAACAAAGTATTATATCCATAAATGTCGC